ATGATGACCACATCGCTTGACTTAACTGCCTCTGCAAGCTGACCTGAGAATTTGTGGTCCAGCTGTTCCCCCTGGTTGGATGGTCGATAGTAGACACCCACCGTTAAGTCTCTTTTCCCCCAGCCCCCTTGTATTTTAACCCAGAGCACTTCAGTCTGCCCCTCCTCTGACCCCGTGCTTTTTGTTGAGGACGTGTATTGTTCTTTGATGTAAAGCGCCACACCCACACCTTTCCTCCCCATTCTATCCCTCCTGAACAGTCTGTAGCCCTTGATGTTTACCACCCAATCATGGGTTGAATCCCACCAGGTTTCAGTGAGCCCCACTGGTTGCTGGGGTAGCTTCCAGCAGCAGAGACCTGTGGCCCCACTCCTAGCCTGGGTCCCACTGTAGGGGAGCAGGACACCCTTGGCAGGGATAGGAAGCCCCCCAGCTTGGGCCAGCTGCCTGACATGTGCCCCAGGCATCTGTGAGGGCTACAGGTCTGTGGTCCTTGAAGGGGGAGATGGCCATCAGGGGCCGAGGGGACAGCAGTCCCATGCGGGTGGGCCAACAGTCTTTGGCACCTGCTTCAGCAATGCATTCTGGGCTGCAGCTGTCTCAGACAGACATTGGGTATGGGATCATGCAGCTGTCCAGCTCCTTCATGGAGAAGTTCCTGGCCTTGACTCTGTACCCCTGAAAGCAAGGTGCAAGGTCAAAAGCCCCACACCCCATGCCTCCCTGCTAAGGTTTCATGTTTGTTCAGTTCAGGCCCTAGAGTATTCCCCCTAATCCCAAACCTCCTTCCAGGTTCTGTCTCCCTGTTCTTAACCCCTACCCCCACCCCAGCTCACTGCTGGCCAAAGATTTGCTGTTTTTTATTAATTCAGAGGAGGGACCAAGCTGAGACATGGACAATGTTCAACATGTTTTCTTTATTAAACACGGGAAAGGTTTGGCAACCTCAACGTTTTAAATGGAGGCACATGTCTTTCTCACACTACATTCCCCCATACCTTAGTGTGTGCCCTGGGGAGGCAGGGGTTGAGAAGGGAGAGGGGAAGGAAGATGGTACCTGAGTTGTGGGCAGTGCTGCCTGTGATGTAGGGCCAGAGGAGCCTGGGGCAGGAGACACATGGCTCAGTGCCAGGTGTGGGCACTCAAAGCCCAGTCCACACAGGTGAGAAGGCAGTCAGCTACGGCTTTCTGGATGTAGACAGCCTGCCATGGTATGGAGCCAGAGCCACCCACATCTTCAGGATGCTCACCTGATGAATTTGGGGACCTCAGGAGTATAGTGCCTGCTCTCCATCACCCTGAAGAATGGGGAGTTGTGCATTGGATAACCCTGAAGTAGAGGACTGTTTTATTCTCACTTGAAAATTAGCAGTTAACACCTCCCATTTCAAAGAAAAGTTATGACAATTCAACAGCAATCTTCTTACTGATTATCTGATTTTTAAATAGTTGTTTCATCCAAAAATGTAAACACCCACAAAAGAAAATGTTTTAAATACAGTTGTCATGAACCCACAATATTTTGGGGTGTTCATGGGATATCATGCATATTTGGTTGAATTTGTTTTACTAATAATGGCATATGTGGTCTCTACATAAATGTAGTGTCAAGCTGAATTTAACCTTATCATACTTCTGTTTATATGAGCTGTGGCATTTGATACAAATGTGTTCTTTTATGTTGTGATAGAGCTAGGATTGCATACCCTGGAAGTGATTTTCAGGTGTCATTCTTTAAACAATGTGTTTTTCACCTAGGAGATGTTCAAATCCTAAACAGTTAAGATAAGTAATCACTGAGATTTAGCATCTGACATGCATGGGGAGGCCGGGGGGAACAGGCTAGGGGCCTTGTTTCCTGCCTAGCTCTGTGAGTGTGGAAGTGAGCTGGAAATAAGCTCCCCAGCCTGTTCCACCCCACCTCCCCTCCCACTGCTCTGTGCTTGTGGAGCTGGGCAAGGAACAGGATCCCTTGTCCCTGCCAGTGGGGAGCTCTCAGCAGTGGCTCCATGACCGTGGGGCTCATGCTGGGAGATCTTTCTCTCTCTGCACTGGAGCTGGTACTGGGAGATGAGGGTCTCCCAGCCCAAGCCCTGTGACTGCAGAGCTCAGGCTGAAAGATAACGATCTCCCAGCACTGCCCCCACAGTCACAGAAGAGATAAGGGTCCCCCAGTCCCTGGCTCCCTGATCATGATCTTGGATTGGGGGGCTTGTAACTCTCTGCTGCCAGGGCAAGGGGACATTGTCCTTGCTGAGGCTTCAGTGGTGGAGCCTGCCCCAGCAGCAGGCAGCTCCCAGGGGCAGGGAGCCATCTCCTACCCCCTGTTGAACAGCTGACTGGGAGCAGATTTTGCTCCCATTCAGGCATCTACACAAGCACTATGGCACCATTATTCATCTCGTGAAAATTTGCTAGCATTTTCAGGTAGCAAATTTTCTCAAGATTAGGGAGGTTTTCTGTGAAGTAAGCATGTGTGCATGTAGACGTGCATGCTTACTTCACAGTAAACTATGCTAATATGAGGTTAAGCATCTCATGTAGATGTGCTCAGTGATGCTTAACTGCGGAGCTGATTCATCAGCTCCACATTAAAGCGCACATGCAGATGCACCCACGGGTTTTACTACCTCTTGTCACATCCATGAAAGAGACTGAGATGTTTTATTTCTTCTACTATGGGCTCCATCGCATTGCAGAAGGGAAATTATTCTGGCTAGTGAACCATCCATTCAATCTAGACTACCTTTGCCCTGCCCAGACCCTACTGTCTTCTATTGCAAGGAACTCCTACTCTGCTTTGCAGAAAGAGTGACAAAGTTCTTTGGGCAGATGTGATATTTTTTATTAGACCAACTAAATAGTTGGAAAAATGGTTCTTTGCAAGCTTTCGGGCACAAACAACCTTCTTTAGGCAAAGAGATTCTGGCTTCCCCTTGCAGAAAAAGTGACATCTTTCAGTAAGCCTCTCCTAAATTTGAGCAGCGATTGAAGATGAGGTTTCATCCTTCTGCAGTCACTGAATTCTGGCTCTTTGTAGTCAGGAAAAGTAAGATAGGAGTTGAGGCTTTAATATCTGTTGTAGTTTGGATATTAAAATTTATCATAGCCTGAGAAACTACAGTTATTTCTCAGAACTTTCTTTCTTAGATAAATTTATTGAGAAAATCCATTATTCAGTTAAAAACTTAAATAAAAGATGTGTACTGTGAAGTCTCATAATGAGAAAATTATCTGTAAGCTTAAGCAAAAATTCTAAAAAATCTACAGCTATAATGTTTGCTAAAGGACATTGATTTTTTTGAGGAGATTTGCTGGAAGTTAAAATGCAAGATTTTAGTCTTCATTTATGAGACATTACAAGTTTGTCTTAACACCCTCCGCAGAATTAGTTGCCAGCAGGTAAGCACTTTAGTTTGTTGGGCCTTGAGAGGGAAAATAAAAAGTACAATACCATTTAAAATGCACAACTTGATATGAATATTGGAGGGCAAAGTTAAAATCTTTCATTATTCTCAAGACTCCCCTGCCTCATTACTTTTCCTTTTTCAGGCATTTGATCTGTTCTCCTTTCCTTTTTTCTCAATCTTCTACATTAACTGTTCAAACAACATTGTTGACAGAGCTGGAAATATTCTGTAGTATCTCACTCGGGCAGTGGGCTTTCACATAGCGCTTTTACTTGCTGCTCTTTTTTTTAATGCTCTAGGGATGAACAGCCCCCTCTAGTGATATCTGTGTGATAAGCTTTTAATGATAAGATTAATTAGCAGAAAACAATTTTTCCTTTCATTCTGTAAGAATAAAGAAACATATGGCAGGACACCACTGGAAGCCAAGAGGAGGTATAAATGTCACCTAGGAAACATATACTTTTAAAAATCTTCAAAGCATTTTGAAAGCTAAGATGCTTTAGCTGGCATATGCTCTTCCCTTGTCAGTTCCAAAATCTCTGCTTCAGAAGGCTATTTTTAATGTAGATTTTTTTTCTTTTAGCTTCATAACCCAATTAATAATTATGCTACAGACTATGGATATTAAACTGGAGAGATTTCACTTTGTAGAAAGCAATCTAGTCTGATTTCTGTAATAACATGTCATTCTATATGCAAGATACCAGTGATACCAGCTATGGTTCTGTTTTCTGTATATTCCAGTGAGCACTGTTGTTGCCTTTTGTTCCTAAGGTATATATGCATGAAACCAACAGAATGATGAGACAAAATAACGTTGCCTAACATACGAGCCCAGTCTGTTAGAAAAATGGAATCATTGTGCATAAGTTAATGTCATTTATTATCTAATATTTGTTTTACAAGAGTAGATATAAATATAAGCTTTATTAAACTTAGTATCCCATTAAGCTAAGCATAAAGAAATGCATGAGAAGACTGAATTAAAATCTTTATAATAAAGTTGAAATATAGCTTCATCTGCTCATCATTCTAGCCACAATAAACAGTCTGATTTCACATAGCATTGTAGCAAAGGTGAATCTTGAGACATTTGGAAGAGGACATTTTCCATACTGATAATTCAAATAGTTCTGGAGGATGCATACTTTCTCTTACTTTAATCTTGTGTATTGCAGGCAATGTATTTGGTCTCTGAAGAATTAATAAGAAGTATCAACTTTTTATATTATTTTAGCTTTTTTAATGAAAATAAAAATTATCTTTAAAAAAGAATAGAAAATTTTCTTTGAATAAGAATGGACCATTTACTTAACACATGTTTTAAATAAAAAGAAAAAATTAACTGCAGAAGCTAGTATTGATTAACTCTGAAATGAGTTTTATGCTCAGCAAGTTAAATGAAGTAACTGGTCATTATGATGCTTATAATATTTAAGATAAAAATCACTGAGAGGCAATCACTTGTGAAAGAATGTACCTGGGAAATTGAAAAAGGAAATAATCATTCATTACAGAAAGACCAAAATACACTTTTGACCAGAAAAAATGGGTGGAGTTGTGATATGTGTCTCTGTTTCATTACAGACTACATGGAAACAGGAAATGCATCTGTTTCAGAGCAACCCATGCAGGAATGTCCACTGTCAGAACAGCAGTCTTCCATTTTATCCCCAGAAGTTTCTCCATCCCAAAGGACTAAAAGTAAATATAACAATTTTATGACTGGAGAAGCTTTGCCAAAGGTTCTAATACTGTCATTTATTCTTGTAGTAATATAATTTATTCTACTAGTAATATATCTACAGAAATATAAATTGGGAAGAGAAGAAATAAAAGGGAATATTGATGTAAAAAAGTTAGTTCTTAGGAAGATTAATGAGCTGGGTGCTACCCCTCAGAAGAGGTATCAGTTTATTTTCTAATATGCACTATAATATATGTTATGTAGGAAGGAATTGAAATGAGTTCTTACAAATGAGCTATTAATGAATCATGCATTCAGTCTTGGGCTGGAGATATATACCACATGTGGTATGCCCCAGATCAACCCATATGCTGCATACAGTGAGCACTTGTCCCAGCCCAACAAACTGCATATGAGATGTGGGGCTGGTTTGATGTGTGCTGCATGAAGCCAGATTACCAGTAAAAAAACAGAGTAAAAATGGATGTCAGTAAAGTCAGTAAAAAAAAAATTACCTATCAGTAAAAACACTAAGCAGCTGCAGCTTGATTGAAGCTCTGACAGACAGAGAACAGCAGTGTCGCCTGATGTCTGAGTGGGAGCATAGCACCCTGCAGGAAATGTTCTCTTGGCCAAGTGCTGCTGCTGTTGCTGTATCCCAGACTGTCTATAATACTGCTGGGCTGCAGGTAGGTTTATTTGGAGGTCGATGCTGGGACAAGGGGAGTGGGGCTGGTAAGGTTGGAAGGTGGGCTGGGTGGGGGAGCAGCATGTTACAGTGGGAGCATCAGGGTGTGGGGATGAATAGGGGTTTCTGGTGGGTGGTTGAGGGCAGCACAGTGTAAAACTATTCTTGCAATCAAGGAGAGTTGTCAACCCAAAAAATGTTTTTTACAGCAAACTTCTCACTGATTAAACTTTTTTTTTTTACTATAGTTTGTGTTAAACCCCTAATGTTGAGCTCAGCTCTTCTAACTGGGGTCTGGCAGCAGGGCAGGGCCTGGCATAAGACTTATGTTAAATGTACACCACTAAAAAGGCGTCAGGAAAAAAGTTTTTTGTAAAGAACTTACAGATTGTCAGTAAAAAACTTCTCTTGCATTGGCAGCCCTGCATGTAGCACACAGGGCTGGGGCTGGGGTATGCACTGCACATGTTGTGCAGGGCAGTATGGGGCACATGTTGCAGGAGGTGTGCAGTGCTTGTTTGGGGACCAGATGACTTTGACGATCCTGCTGGGTGGAAGATCCACAATTTTGGGAAAAGCATTAGGTTTTGTCAATGCAGGAAGAAATATCTCCTTGCTCCCTGAAAAGTAACGATTTCACTCTTCATTTCAATTGCTTTTTTCACTTGCAAAAAAGCTGCTCCTATTAGAAAACTAAACTTGCTTCTGAGAGCCACATTTTGATGTCTTTAGTCATGCTGGTTAGAACCTTACACCACAAATAACCCAATTGACTACAGTAGAGGCATTAGACTAACAGGATTTTTTTCAGTTCAATTTTTTTCATTCATGGTATGCATATGGGGTAAAAAAAGAGGTTTTGTTTGGTTGGTTTTACTTTCAGTGGACTCTGTTTTAAAAAAAGATGTTTTAAAATAGCTTTTAATATTGTTTACTCTAACTTTCAATTTATATTTCTTATAATTTTTTTTTATTAATCATTATTTTCTAAATAGAAGGCTAAATACAAAGCATTATGTAAAAATCTTTTTAAACCACGTTCTACTTACGATTATTTGCAAAATTCCCATTGACTTCCAATATTCAAAACCTCAATTGATGTCTTAAATATAGAAAGTCCATTGTTCTTGGTTGTTGTTTTTTTAATTGATTGCATTCCATTGCTGGTTTTGAAACACTCAGCCATGACAATGAACATTTTTTAAATATTCTTAAATATTATCCTTAGACCTAGATCTTACTACTTATGCCTACAGGCACAGAGGACAATGCAAACCTGCACCAGAAACACAGATATTAAACTGAGACACAATCATATCTGATGCTTCATTGTACATTCTTTGTGTGCATAATCTATTCAGTCCCTTAGGAGAGATTAGATTTCTTTCCCTCAGTGTGCTGGCAGAACAGCACACTGCACTTTCATTCTGTAGAGTGAAAGAAAGTGCAGAAGTGCTTTCTTTTCAGCCTCTTGCTCCCCAAAGGAAATGTGGAGTCACTGTATTAGCTAAACTGCAGGGACTCCTACTATTGGAGAACCCAGTATACTTGAACAAGATGAGATAGTTTCTTGTGTTCCTGCTGTGCTCCCTTAGTGTAGTCACTACCTCTTTCATTACTGATTCTGATTTACTCATACTGAATAGCACTCTACTTTATCTATAAAGGCCCCACTAGTGTTAATGGGGCTGCTTGCAGAATAAGGTACATATTCATTGGGATGCATGTATTAGAATCTGTCCCATAATTAAATTTAGAAATATATGACACCAGTTGCTTTAGCACTTGGGTACCTTTTATCAAGAAATTTAGCGATTAACAAAGGAATAACATCTTCAGAATAATAGTTAACATGTTAATGAGAGCAGACATGTGATGTGTAGAATGGCTCTGAAAGTCACAATGTATTTTGAACCATAAGGCATACAATTGAAGGAATAGTTCATCTTATTAAAAAGTTTGTAGAAATAAAATACCCTTTGAATTCTAATTCATGATTGTATTTTATTTACCTTTTTAAAGGTGAAGCTGTGACTGGAGAGTTATCAAAGCTCTTAAATGAAATCAAGTTATGCCAAGAAAAGGAGTATTCTTTTGAAGATCTGTCACATACAATATCAGAACATTTTTTGGACAATTTTAGTAAGATATCAGAAGAAGAACTTGTGACCAGTGGAAGCCAAACAAAACTTAATATAGTAAGTATGATGGGACACAGATAACTTTTATATTTTACATTGCTTCTTGTACATTCATTAGATTAATATAGCAAAATTGATATGAACTGCAGTCTGAAAAAGAATATAGAGTATGCTTGTTACAGATAGAAGGGATAAGTATGAATCTTTATGTATTCAGGTGAGCAGTTATTTACCTGAATGACTATATTGACTTTAGTGGCACCATTGTGTGAGAAACTCCTCATCAAGAGGAGTAAAGAATTTACATTCCAGTCCATAGGGAGAAGGGAGCCACCTAGAGGTAGCCAAACAAATACAAAACTTTGGTGAGGTGTTGGGTTTAGGCACCTGATTTAGGTCTTTCCCAAGGTCCCTCTTCAGATTTGAGATCTACAGCATAGAACATATTCTTTATTCTCTTGAAAATAGCAACCTACATCCATTCTTTGAAAATAATTTGTCTCTATCTCTCTCCCTCTCCCTCTCCCCCTCTCTTTAATCTCTTTCTGGAGTGAATATTACCTTTTATACAATACAATACAATAAAATAAGTACAATACAAAACACTGAGAGCACTCGCCCAGGAAGAGGAACAATTTGGTTCAAGTTCCTTCTCTTCCTAAGGGGAGTTTAAACAAACATCTCTTACCTTCCAGGAAATTGTCTTCACCAGCAAGCTGTTGTCATCTCCTAGGATGGTTTATGCAGCTGCAGTTGGTTTCAACCTTACATTTTCTAACTTGCAGGAGAGTACTGAAACTATTAGGATTTAGGCTAGTCTTCATGGGGACATTTTTCAGTCCTGTTAAAGTTATGCCACTGTTCAGCAAAGAATCCTAGATATAGGGGGCTGGGCAGAGAGAGAGCCCAGAAGGAGGAGCATGATTCTGTAATCTGGTGATTAGGACACTCACCTTACCATTACCTTAATATTAAGATATATTATTGTAAACTGTGATATTAAGCTATAATATTAGTCCTTTAATGTGAGTTTAGAAGATACATTCTTTATTGTTTGTGAAAGGCTTGTGTAGTATGGTAATGTGAGGTCTGGGGGGCCTTATGGGTAGCACGGCCTGTCGGACATGTAGCCCCTCCCCTCAACTCGCCTGCCATGACTTTGATGTTAAGCTATCAAGAGCGGGGGGTTCAGTGGAGATCTTCTTGGAAGAGCTTCCCGACAACGGCTGTGCTCACGATTGTTCGGCGTGATGTTCCATGGGGCTCTGCCTCCCCTACACGCCATGCACTCGCCAACCGGATAGGTGATTGTGCAGTGGTGGTTTCAATCCCGTGGGCTTCCTCACAGCCTGCTTCAGGTGGGGGGGACCCATGTCTGAGTGGGCTCCATCGGCTCTTTTCCTTCCAACCTTGATGCCCCAATTCTCTCTCTCTCTCTCTCTCTGTTTTTTTTTCTCTTTCTTTTTCTGTTTTCTTCAGAAGAAATGTTCTCCTGGGGTGGAGAGGGATGTGGAGCCACCTCCTTTCCCCAAGCCTCCTACAGGGGGCTCAAACTACCTCTTACAGGGAGCTCGAACGCTTCCCCTGGTCTGTCTTCTGCAGGGAGCTGCAGTGCTTCCCCTGCTCTGCCTCCTACAGGGGGTCGAAGTGTTTCCTCTGCTCTGCCTCCAGCAGGGGGCTCGAAGATTTCCCTTGCCCTGCTCACCGGTGCTGCTCTGGCTGTGCCGCTCCTCTTCCCTGCAGAAGCCTCAGCACGTCTCATGTGCTGTCCACTTACTCTTTCTTCCTCTGGCTCCCCCTTGCCACAGGGTCTGTCGGGGCTTTTAAACTTCCACGTGGCGGCCGGTACAGCTGCCGTGATTGGTCCAGCTGTTCTCCGCATGGGTAACAGTTGGTTAAACAGCCAGAGTAGCGCTGGCTTGCATGACTGTGGCCACAGTCCTGGTTCCTGCGCTGCCAGGCTGGCAGGAGGTAAGTTTTCCCTGCATGGGGTCTGTTTCAGGGTTTTGGGACCCACGGAGCTTGCTCCCGCCCCTTTGAAAGCCTGTGGGGGGCGTGTTGCTGCCACAGGTAAATATAGCATGAAAGTGCCCATGGATAGATTAATACTTTTCTATACAGTGCAAGGTTTGGGTGGTATTCAGTAGTTAAAGTCTGGCCACATATTGAATGAGGAAGCTAAAAAGAATAATTACCCAAACACTGAATGAATTCAGCCGAAGTTCTATGGAAAATGGTATGGGATTTTTTTTCTTGGAGTGTTACATGGTTGGACTTGGAAGGCAAAATACTAGCTAAGTGCTTTGTGCAGACATGTAAGTCTATATCACCGTTGTGGTAAAAGTGTTTGGTACCCACCAAAAATATTCAGTAAAACAGGTATAATTGTTTAGTAGAAGGAATGAAAGGAGCCCTGCACTGGCATTGGAAAATGCAGCAAGGAAATTTGTGATGAAAGACTGTTGGGACAAATACTTCACTTTATACAAGCCTAAATAAACAGACCTTGCATATACAAGCATGTTTGCTCTCAGAGACTGCCTTTGATAATGTCATTTTTTAATTTCTGGTGTTTTACTTCGGCTAAGAAGCAGCATAATTTTAAAAATATTTATTTTCCAATAGATGGCAGTCTGGCTCAGTAATTTAAAGAACAAAAGCAGCCATCTTATGTAAGATTTTTTTTTGTTTATTTATTTATTTGTTTTGCATCTCTGTTAGAGTGGTAGTTTTTAACTGAGGTTCAGTGCAAGGTGCTTAATAATACAATTTTTTTAAAAGAGAAACTCTATTACATAGTCAAAATGGGTGGTATCCATCTACATCTATATATATTTATAGCAATATATAAGTAAATAAGTAGCAAAATAAAATGGTAGGGCCAAATATAGAGGCATGGTAATAATGTGGAGGAGGTTACATGTCAGTAAGTGGATGTTCAGGGAATCTATATGAAGCTAAGGGAGGCTAAGAAAATCTAAGTGGGTGTGTGTTACATGACAGGGAGCAACAATAGACAAATGTAAATTAAAGTGCATGTACAGGGGATCTACTTTAGCTTATACTTTGTTCCAGGCCCCTTGCATGTACATTACTTCAAGGTAAAGTCCCCTTTTCTCAAAACTCTGATTTGTAACTTACATCACTAAACATTTTTTGCAGGCTTGATATTCCCACATACATTTTTATGCAAGTTTATTGTAAAGTCAGTGTTCAAACCATAAATGTTCACTGTTTATAATAATGGATGTGTTTAGTAACATTGCTGTACAGGAAACCCTCACTATTCATGAACTCCGGGTTCACAGATTCAAATTTTCGCAGGGGAGGCCAGAGCTGGGAGGTGGGTGGAGAGTGAGCACCAGGGATGTGGAGGGAGGCAGTGGCAACATCTTCTTCCCTGGAGGCAGCCAAGGTGGGACCTGGTGTGCGGGGAAGGGGTCAGTCCCCAGATGCTGCAGGGGAGCCCCAGGGATGGGGAGGGAGGCAGTGGTGGCATCTTCTCTGCCGCCACTGCTGGAGGCAGCCCTGGCAGTGCTCTGAGAGCCACAACGGCACTCAGGGGGGAAGGGGTTGGTCCCCAGGTGCTGCAGGGGAGCAGGGGGCAGCTGTGGGGTCTGATGGGGAGCCCCATCAGTATTAGCAGCTTTTGCCATTCGCAGGGATCTCCAGAACATATCCTCCACGAATGGTGAGGGTCTTCTGAATGAGTAAAAGCAGAGAAAAGGAAGGAATGGAGAACCATTGCTATTATGTTTGAGCTAGAAAAAAACCTACAGTACCTCTGATCAACATACAGTAAAAGCCCTGTTATCTGGCATTTTACTAACTGGCATTTCTATTAACTGGAATTTCCATTTGGCCGGCTGGATGTTGTGTGGGGGAGATAGCATGCGGCAGTGGTTGCTGCCACCCACCACCCTGTGCTGCTTTTGCTCTGCATGCGGCTGCCGCCACACCCCTCCTCCCTGCTCTGTGTGTGACCGCTGCGCCTCCTCCCCAGTGTTTGGCCAGAAACCCCTGTGCCTCAGGTAACTGGCATTTTTAGATTACTGGCACCCCCCATTCCCCACTCATGCTGGAAAACAGGGCTTTTACTGTATATCTTTTTATTTGGTATGGATAGTCTATGGAATCTCTTGATTCTCAATATAAAAACACAGCATCCCGAAAGCTGAGAAAATCAAGAGATAACTCACCCTCATGCATGCATAAGATTTGCATACTGCACACATGCACTTCAATCATTTTCTTTCATAAATGTGATTTTTTTTTTTTTTTT